AATATTTAACAACAAGAAGAAGCAACAACAACAAGAATAAGAACAAGGAGTTGAATGTGTAAAAACAAGGATTTATGTGTAAAAATAGGGGATTAGAATGTTTTAAAACAGGGGATTATATAAAATAGGGTCTATACATTTTGAAGTATGTAAAATGTGTTTTACAAGGTTTTTTTTATGAAAGTATTATTGAAACGGTATGATATATACAAAATATCAAAGAATAATGTACAAATTTGAATGAAAAATAAAAGGTGAAGAGAGATGTTACTTTTTTTTCCCCATTTCTGTGAATCAGAAGTCAGAAACTATAAAATTTCTTCAGAGTTGTGATGGTTCTTCGTGTTGTAGAGAGTCGCCGATTGGAGAAGATGAATAGCTTCATGTTGTGTTGATGAGAGTTGACGATTGGAGAAGATGAACGACTTCGTTTTGTGGTTAGGGTAGGGTTTCAGAGGTAGTGGAGTCAAATGGTGGAGAGATGGAGGACTTAGAATGTAGAGACGAGCGGCGGAGGTGTGACAATGTATTGATCAAACTGGTGTGAGATAATCGTTGGTGGAGCGTATGTAAATTGGATGATATGTGATGGTATTTTTGTTTGATTGATAATTTGAGGAGTTAATGGAGTATTGAATTTGTTTTGGGGTGATTCTACTTACACCACTATTTAATCTCTTTACACCCTTTATCCACTAAAAAAAATATAATTATCATTATACCCCCAATATATTACCAAAACTAACTATAAATTAACTACTTCATTTCTTTACACCATTAATTTTGGTAACACTGTGCTAAACAATTTACATTATTCCGATGTTATGTTGTTGAAACAAATAGATTTCTTGAGCATTTTGTTGCTATACATTTATAGAGACACTTTCTTGCAAACAATGATTTTTTAATTTGTAGTGGGCTTGCTCGGTAATACAACGCTAATTAATTTGAATTATTCCAATGCCATGTTACCGGACAAATTTTTTTCCCTCAACATTATGTTGCCGTCCAATTAGATGATAACAAGAAATTAATTTGGATCACTTGTGAAGTGCATGTTCAGTGATATATTATTATACAAATGAGATTACTCTAGTGTCATGTTGCCAAACTACAATAGAGTTGTTTAGGCACCCGTTGTTGTACATTGAAAGATTTACTTTTATCTTGAAGCAGCTATAAAAAAATTCATAAATCAAACACGCATCCATAAAATCATACATAAAAAGTATCCATAAAATTATTCATAAAAACATTAAGTGTACAAATATCCATAAAATCTGTCATTGTTTACATCCATCAATCAAACATGTTATTACAATTTGTCTCGGTAATTTGTAGGTAATTTTTTCCCCCTTAATAGAAATAGACATACGTACTCTTTAGAATCTGTCAACCTCAATCGTTCCCCCTTGATCTTCTTATTGTCTTTATAGTAACCACTTCTTTTACTAACAAGTATAAGTCTTGATTTCCTGCCATTGCCTCCTACATCTGATGTTTTTATAACAATAACAAATTCAGTCTTCTTCCCAACAACAGAAGCCCATTTAATTAATGCTTCACGACTGTGAAAAATCTGAAGATAATAAATATATTTATACGCCAAATTATTAATAAAACTCAATATAAATTAAAAATAAGAAAAAATCGTATTCATAAAAAAAAACTTAACAAACCTTGTTTGTAATGAATTTATGACTATAGTCCACTAATATTGCAGTACTTGCGTTGTTACAATAAGTATAAGTATAATCTTTCCAGGTAAAAAAATAAAAAATATAAAAAAATGAAACTGAAAATACATGGTAATGAGAAACCGAACAAATTAAAAAAAATTCAGTTTGGGATTATCGAAAATGTATCTTTTATTCAGTGGTTAGTTACCAAACTTACATTTTTTGTTCGGCAATGTGATGCCAGCCTATTTTATTTTGTTCGATTTCAAACCACCGAACGAAAGTCGAACACCAATTTAGAAAAATGAAACAAAAACCTACCAAATAAATAAAAAAAACTCATAATTTCACTTTTTTAATGGTTCTTGGCCACCGTTTCTTTATCCATTACTTTATTTAATGATCAAAATGCTATGATTCTCATTTTTTGAAAAGAGATGTGTAAGAGAAAAGAAAAATTAAGAAAGGAAAAAGAAGAGTAGGGATCGAAGACCAAGGGGGTGTAAGGAGAAAATAAAATATATTTAATTTTAGTGTTTTGTTCTTAAAGATAATTTCACACATGAATAAAATTGAGAGAAAAATAAACTCATGTGAAGGGTGTAAAGAGGTAAAATAATAGTATAAATAGAATCACCCTTTGTTTTGGGTCTAAATAGGACGTAATATGTTAGGCTTAGGCTCTGTTTGGTGGAGTTTTCAAAATCTAGTTCCATACTCACTTTTGAGTATGATGTTTGTTTAGGGTTTTCAAATTATAATTCTACACTCATTTTTCAAAACTCAATTCAAAACATAATCATTACTTTTCAAAACTCATAACCAAACACATAATTCAAAACTCTTTTCAAAACTCCATTCAAATCAATATTTTAAAAATATTTTAATTTTGTTAAGATTTTAAATATTTTAATATTTAAATATGTTACGATTTTTTTAATTTTTTAATTTTTTTAATTTTTTGAATATTTTTAAATATTTTAATTTTTAAATATTACAATTTTAATTTTTTAAATTTTAAAATATTTTATAAAAATAAATTCAAACTCTATTTTATAAAAATATTTTTAAATATTTTAATTTTTTTGTTATGTATTTGGTTACGATTTGAGTGTAGAGTTGTGAAAGTAGTATGGAGTTTCGAGTTATGTGTTTGGTTATGAGTTTTAAAAATAATTTTTTAATTGAATTTTGTTTTATGTGTTTGGTTACGATTTGAGTGTAGAGTTATTTTTAAATTTAAAATATTAAAATTTTAAATTATTTTAATTTTTTAAATATTTAAATTATTTAAATTTTTACGATTTAAAATTTTTGAATATTTATTTTAATTTTTTACTTATTAAATTTTTTAGATTATTTAAATTATTTAAATATTTATGATTTAAATTTTTTGAATATTTATTTTGAAAAAAATTTATTTCATTTGTAGTATTTTCAATTAAAAAATTGATTAATGTTATTTTCTATTAATAATAAATTTTTTTAATTGAATTTTAAAAAGAGTTTGGTTATGAGAGTTGATCAGAATTTTAAATAGTGTGAAAGTAGTGTGTTTTGTTATGAGTGATAACAATTTGAATTAAGTTTTGAAAACTCTTTCCAAAACTCATAACCAAACAAATTTTCTTACTTCACATGTCAAATCAAACTTTCAAAACTCAATTCTACACTCAATTCCACACTCAATTCAACACTTTATTCAAAAACAATAACCAAACAAATTTTCAACACTCAAATCATAATTCTAAAACACACAAACTCAAAATACAACTCATATTCTCAAATCATAGTTAAAAAGCTCTACCAAACGGAGCCTAAATATATCGGGCGCCAAAAATAATTTGTTTCCCTCTAAAACAAATACTACAACCTTTAGCGACAAACGAAATTTTTTGTCGCCAAATAACAATAAATAACGACTAAATATTTTGCAGCCAAAGATTGAATAATAGCGACTAATATATTTGTAGTCGTTGAAAGTATTTTATAAATCCCTACAAAATATTTGAAATGTCTCTCTCCAAAAATTTTAGTTCTTTGGTGACTAAGATTCTTTTTTCAGGGAGAATCATCTTCCGAAACAAAAAAACCACTGTTTCTTTTTTTTTTTTGATTCAAAGGAAGTTCAGAAAGACAGAAACAACAGATACAAGAACAGATACAACAGCTAAACTAAGAACTAGTCTCTTAGGACACTAACTCCGGTCATATCTGCTATGACCAGATTCTTCACCTCTTCAGGAGGGTCCTCCAGCAGCACCACATGTTCACCTTGCTCCACACCTAGGCTTGCAAGCTTATCAGCACATCTGTTGCCCTCCCGTAGTGTATGTTGCAGAAGGCAATCGCATCTTTTCAACAGAAATCTTGCATCTTCAATCAGAGCTTTGTATGGAGAGTTGGTATTGGGACCGTTCTGTATTTGGTCAATAGCAAGTTCAGAGTCGGATTCGATTTCTACTCCTTTAGTGCCTTTTTGAAATAAAATGGTGAGGCCACGATATATAGCCCAATCGGTGTTATTTTTATCAATTGCCACTATAACCTTTATTAATTGATGTATTAATTGACATTTGCTTAAATCACCGGCCAAACGACTTTTTAGAGGATCGACATATACAAATCGTGAGAATTCACGCGCTATCAAGAATGTTTAACAGCAAAAAAAAAAAAAAATTTGAACAAAAAAATTTGTCGCTAGCTCCCGACTTGGACCCAAATGATCCAATATAATATTCTGGTCCTGGTCCGATCCACACGCAGCTCAACGAAATACAGATGGTTTTGTAGAGAGAGAGAAACACAGACGCAGACAGGCAGAGCCACCATTTTTGACCATATATGCGTCTTGAATAAGCCATTTTTCGGCCTGCACAAAATAATTTATGTTTTTATTTTTTTTTTCATCGTAACATCTATTTATTTTTCAATTCATCCCTCTTTTCCTTCCACCCCTTTGACTCACTCTTTCTCATTGGTTACATTTTTTTTTTCTTACTCTTCCAATCACCACCCGCCACATGGCAAAAGGGGGTGAGGGGTGACCCCCAAAAGAGGTCTAAGCATTATTCTTTATTTTTTTACATATCCTTTCATAAAAATAAAAAAAAAGAGTGGTGATTCATCCCACTAATTTTTGGACCACTAATAGCTCTAATGAGCTTTAAAAAAAAAAAAAAATAAACTCAAACTAAAACATCACATCACTTTGGTGGAGGCCACTGTACCACATTATTAGTGATACTCTAGAACTCCTAATTTAGTGCTCTAAAACATTATTCATAAAAAAAAATAGAAAACACAATTATTTAGCTTATCCAAACAATGATCTTTACGTCACTCACACGCTCCTTTCGTCGATTCTCTCACTTTCCAGATCTGGACAATCAATTCACCTCACAATAATCTGCACATTTCACACCCAAACCGCTCATGTACATTGCAATTTCTATCTTTCTTACGATATGTATAGTTTCTATGTACAATTCATTGCATTTACAAGCTGGTTCCAGTGATCCATAACAATTGCATTTCACTGTACCAGTCCCCCTTTGGTAATTTCATTTCAGATTCTTACTGGTTTTTTTTGGGATTTGATCTGGGTTCTGAGTTTTATGATCTGGGTGTGTGCTAGATCTGGGAACAAACTAGCTATTTATGTGGTAGGGTGATAAATATAATAGTGTTGTGTATATTTTTCATGTCAATGTCATCTGGAAATGTGGTTGTATCAGACAAAATGCAGTTTCCTAGTGGCGGCGGTGGCGGAGGCGGAGGAGAGATCCTCCACCACCGACAGTGGTTCCCGGATGAGCGGGACGGGTTTATCTCGTGGCTGCGTGGGGAATTCGCTGCCGCCAATGCGATAATCGATTCGTTGTGCAACCATTTGAGGTTGGTTGGTGAGCCTGGTGAATATGATGGGGTGATTGAGTGTATACAGCAGAGGAGGTGTTATTGGAACCCTGTTCTTCATATGCAACAGTACTTCTCGGTGAACGAGGTGATGTACACCTTGCAACAGGTGACTTGGAGGCAGCAACGGCGATTTTTTGATCATGTAAAGGTGCCCACGAAGGAGTTTAAGAGATCTGGTGTTGGGTCTAGGCAAGGACAGAGGGTTGACCTTGTGAAGGAAGGTCATAATTCTAATGTAGATTGTCATAGTTATAATGCCAATGCTTCTAGCAATGTGGGTTTGGAGAAAGGAGAGAGAGTAACTGAGAAAGTAGGAGAAGCTAAATTGAATGGCAAGGATGAGGCAATTTCAGAGGATAAAAGAGGTAACAATTGAATGTGTTGTTACTTTTGTGGCATTTGTTGATGCCAAGTGAACTGATCGTTAAATTTACTTCATTACATTGGTTTTGCAGTTTATAATTGATAGTCATTTATAAATTTGGGAATTTTAAATACCTTTCCTTTTATGACGAGGATGCTGGTTACTTTTGACTTACATAATTCTTATATTGTTATGTTTATAAGGCTATATATAAATGAACTGTTCTATGACGTACCAATAACTGTTTCTTGTTTCAGATGACATTTAGAATTTGGACCGCATGTCACATTGTGTGTGTGTGTGTGTGTGTGTGTTCTCGATAATGTCTATGTAGATAATGTAGTTATTTATGCATCACCTGCAATCCCTTTGCCAAGGCACCATATTCCTGGAAGTTTATTGGAACTCTTTTTTTGGGTGTTTGGTTGATGTGCAATAATACAAAGGTTCTGGCAAGAGCAAGATGTGCAATTTCTCAGTGAACAGTAGTCTCTCTCATAGGAGGAAACTCTATTTTTCAGTCATTTTAGCTGAAAAAAAGTTAATTTTTCCGCTGATTTGATAGATGTATGTAAAGTTATAGATTACTGCTCGACACTTCTGATAATAAAAGCATGACAATAGAGGACATTGATTATGCCATATAATAAGTTTCAGTGTCTTAAAAGCCTTGAAAGATGTTTTAACATGACAGCGAAATGCGGCATACATGAATGTACCAGCAGGTTACAATTTTGTTTTTTTGGCAGCAATACATAGATCTTCTATTCGTTGTAGTCTTGGTTATCATTGCAGCAACATAAGAGTATCTGAAGTCATGATTGTCTTCCTTCTAGTCACTGTGCCACTATTTTCTCACTTTCAATATGAAAGTCACGACAAAATTTGCAGTTTGTTTCTTTTGTATTAAGTCATAACTTTTTTTATCATTATTTTCTCAAAACAAATAGATCATGGTGAATCTTTTAGATAGCAATAGTTTATCACTTCTGATAATAATATGTGTTTGGTCTTATTATATTTGATTTAGTTAAAAAGAACCATATTACTCAGTCGTGCAGAAAGAAATTTTTACCATCAATTAACATGATGCCTTTGATCATTAGAAAAATTGTGGGGCAATATTGACTTATAGGGTTTGGTGTTGGAGCAGATACGGTTGCAAAACCTCAAGCAGATACATGTGTCAGGAGTTCTATTGATTCACAAAGAACGATGTCCGGCAATTCAGAACCTGAGATGGAAAGACAAGAGGACGACAAGTTCACCGCAGATTCTAAAGGTTTTTTTTTTTTTTTCTCTTATTTATTTGTGTGTGGAGTTCTTAAGGAGTTTGAATTAGACAAGGGGTGGTTATGCTAATTGAAAATAATGTTTAAAGCTGTTTCTAGATACCCACTCCCATTAACTGGTTAAGCATTGAGTCTTTCACATAAAACTCCTATTTTATGTTTGTCTTAAAAATGTCAACAATTTCGCTCCTCCCTTTTTCTTTTCTGATGCTGCGGCTGGCATAGCTTATCATTTAAAGTTTCTAATTCCTACTCTCTTTTTTGAAGGGCCTTGCAATGTGTCTGTGGAGAGTGATTCAAATTCTATGGAAAATCCACATAAGAAGCAAAATCTCATGATTAGCCCAAAAACTTTTGTTGGCACTGAGATATTAAATGGAAAGGCGGTAATATTCCTTTACTCTTTCAGATTTATTCCTTTAAGCTATTTATTCTTAAAATTTTGTTGAAACATAGCTTCACTTATTTTGTATCTTCTAGTTCTAAGATTTGCCGGTTTTCATCAATAGGTTAATGTGGTTGATGGGATGAAATTGTATGAAGAACTGTTAGATTTATCTGAAGTTTCAAAGCTTGTTTCATTGGTAAATGATTTGAGAGCTGCAGGGAAAAGAGGGCAGTTTCAAGGCAAGTTCGCCAATGCATTCTCTTTTATTTGGAGTAGAATAACTAACTTATACTGTTCTTTTTAAGAGTTTCCATTGAACTATACATATCATCTGAAAGTTTATTTGTTGAGAATTTTGAGTTTCTCTTTTATTTTGAATTTTGATTTTCTCTTAGTTGACATATTATGTGATGGATTTATTCTTTTTAGTGAGATAAGCTATATGTAGGTGATTAATAATAGCCATGGAATTTCTACTAGAAACTAAGAATCTGTGTGTGTTTGTATGCACATGCATCCACAAAGGTGTGTGAGAATGTTATTCCATATTTCTTTTGTTGCTCATGCCCTATTGTCAATTTTTTTACTTTTCAAAATAAAAACTATAGTTAAATTATTACCATACATACTATCAAAATTATTTCTCAAAGTTCTGAGTAAATTCATGTACCTAATAATTCCTTGTAGCTGAATTTATCGCTATGCAAACTGGATTTGAGGATGATATGTGGTTTGACTCATAGTTATCAGAATCCCGATCCGGATCGTAGGATCATAAGATCCTACGATTTCAGTTGTTTTAAACGATCCGGATCACACTAGATCTTAAAATTAGTAGGATCTTAAAGTTATTACGATCCTATTCATAAAATCGTGTAGAGTTGCACACGATCCCGATTCTACTATGATCCTGATCCTAACAGATTTTTTGTTGTTATTTATTTCTTATATATATGTATGTATATGTGTATATCTATATAAAAAAATTGACTATAAACACTTTTTTCAAATGCCTCTTCTAATTGATGTTAACATAAAAGATGCATTGTATCAAATTTATCATTTTCTTTAATATTTTTAAAATTACATAACATATATTATCATTATCGATAATTTTTCATTTTATTTTACATTGAAATTAGAATCTTACGATCCTCAATCCGATACTATGATCCGATCCAGTAGTCCCTTTCAATGATCCAACAAAGCATCCCGATTTTAACACCTTTGGTTTGACTTAATAATCTCCCCCAAAAATTGCAACACCAAAATGAAAGATTATTTATAGCATCATATGGCGTGCACCTCTTACTGTTTGCTGCTGCTTGTAGCTGGAAGGATTTTTGACCATAACAAGAAGGATGACTGTTGTGATGTTTTATGTTGTGTTTGGTTGAGGGATTTGGGAAGAGATTTGGAAAGGAAAAAAAAAGAGTAGGTGAATATGAATAAAATATACCTATATTTCACTTAGTTTTACCCATTTTTTTTACCTTTCCCTTTCCATTTCCAAATCTCTTCCCAAATCCTCCAACGAAACACATCGTTAGGGTATAGCTGACATCATGACTGATTTCCAGTACCCAATAATTCTGAACTTGAGCTTGCCACTGCAAACTGGATTTGATTATGCTAGTAGTTTCAACTCCCGCAAAACACAATACCTTTATTGAAGGATCATTTGTAGCATCACCGCACATCTCTTCTTGTTTGCTGCTGCTCATAGCAGGAGGATGACCATTTTATATCTTTGTTAGCCTTTTTTTTTTTTTTTATTTTTATTTTATTATTATTATTATTATTTTTTGTAACATTGCGTGTACTTCATTATCGGGAAATGGAAACACTTGTAGACCATCAAAATATGTATAGATTTGCCCTTCTAAAAACAAAGGTTCACCTTTGTTTTTTGTGCCTCAGACATACTACTACATCTTGCTGCATGATAGAATTTGGGTGGATTTAAGGTCTTATTCTCCATGGTTCTTGAAGATTACATGGTGGTTTTTGTCTGTAATCTTATCTTGTAGGATTTTCGTTTTCTTCCTCCCTCCATTTTCCTTAGGAAACTGGTTTACTAAACATGGCTGTAACACGTGTTTTAAAAATTAAATTAAACATGGGTGTAACATGTCTTTTAATAAACAAATATATATTACCAAAAGCTGTCTTAAATTCACCATTTTGAATGAAAGTGTAACATGTGTTTTAAAATTAAATGGCTAGCATAATAACGTTTTCTGGTAAGCATTTTATATATTTTATAAACAAGTATACTAATATATTATAAGAAATATTTTTTGCTTAGTTGTAATATGCATGTTAAATTGTGAATAAATATTAGATATTAGTGTTAGAAACAAATTGTTGTTTCTGTAAATCTAAATAAATATTTTGTAAATAGGAATACTAGAATTAGTTTGAGTTAGTTTTTCCCTATAATATGATGTGTTACAGATTTTTTCATACTTGGTACCTTTTCTTTTGCTTCTTTGGAACTCATGTTTGAGAGGTTTCACTCTAGTCGGTAACGCGACTCTTTTTTGATGGGGTTAATTACACTTAGTACCTGTGCACTTTCACCAAAATCTCATTTTGACCCTTCCATTTTCAATTGTGACAAGTCGAGTTGCAATGTCATCCTTTGGTTCATCTATCGTTAATGAAAGGCTGACAGAATTTGTTATGTGAGTCATTCATGACATTTTTTCTTGCCACATTTGCACCCTATACTTTCAACAAAATCTCACTTTGATTTCTCCACTTTTAATGTCCGCTAGCCTTGTTAATGGTAGATGGACCAAAGGGTAACCTTGCAACTTGATTTAAAGTGTAGAGGTTGATTGTCACAATTGTAAGTGGAGGGGCTTGAGCGAGATTTTGGTGGAAGTGTAGGAGTGTGAATTATGATTGACCCTTTTTTATAGGAACGAGTGCTAAGTAGATTCTTGCTTTAAATTGTGAAATTACGGTTTTAGAGTAGATTTGTCACCCTAGTTGGAGGTTCTTGCAACTAAGATATTACATTATTGAGCATAATATAATTTTTGACCTAAGAAGCATGGATACACAACTGGACACGAATACTCTGACACAGTAAATTAAAAAAAAATATAGGATACGACACGTTGAGAACACATGCAAAATATATAGTTTTATATATTTATTATATGTCATTTTTTAGAGGGCAAATTACATTAACGGTTCATATAGTTTGCGCTTTGTATTACTTTGATCCCTGACTTTTCAATTGTGATATATTTAATTCTGAATTTTGAATCTTGTTTCAAATAAGAACAATTGAAGATACCATTGTTCAATTTCAAGGGCAAAGTCATCAATTTGATAAAATGTAAACTAATTTGACAAAAATAAATGTCAAAAAAATATTTTTGAAGTTGTAAAAATTATTTCTATCCACTAAAGATAAAATTATGTAAAATTGATAAATTTTTTAGACATTTATGCATTTTTTTTTTATCAAATTAATTTTTATTGAGTTAATTACCTAAAAGTCCTATTTACAAATGTTATGGCAGCTTAGATCCTATGTAAGATTTTTTGAACCAATAAGTTCTATTTAGTAAAATTGAGAATATTACCAGTTTTTTTTTTATTTTTTTATTTAATTTTTAAAACTAAGAACATTATCAATTTTGCATAGTATTATTCTAGATAATTGTTTCACTAACTGATAAAAAAAAAATAAAGTATGAGATTAAATGTTTTTGCCTTTCTACTTATTGGTTTGATTCAACTATCCAATAAAACTAAAATATTATCAGTTTTTCATTTTTAAATTATTATTATTATTATTATTATTTTTTTTCCAGTTTTGCACATCAATGTTCCATCATTGCACTCCTTTGTAGACACAAAATTTTCAGTTTTGCACAAAAAAATAATTCAATTTTTTCAAAAAAAAAAGTGTTAGCTTTTTTTTTTTAGTTTTTCAATTTGAAAGTTGATATTTTAAAGTTTTAAAAATCAAAATAATATCAAATCATCATGTTCCTTTATAGATAATCATGAATGATGAACAATCATTGTTTGAAGGGTAATTTCGACTATTAAAAATTTAATAGGACTTGAAGGTTCAAAAAATCTTAATTAGGACTTAATGGCCCCGTTTGGTAGAGCTGTGGGAAAGTGATTATGGTCCCGTTTGGTAGAGCTGTGGGAAAGTGATTATAGCTTATAGTTTAATAGCTTATACCTTATAACTGTGAACATAAGCTGATTTTTGACTTATCAATTAAGCTTCTCCTCCCTCACTTAAAGAATAAGTTGATTTTTGACTTACAAAAAGGTATAAGCTGTATTGTTAAGCTGAACCAAACACATCAAAATAGCTTAAATTAAGCTAAAAGCTGAAATAAGCTGGAAATAAGTTTTACCAAACAGGGCTTATAACTTATAGCCTAACAGCTTATAACTTATAACTGTGAATATAAACTGATTTTTGACTTATAAATTAAGCTTCTCCTCCCCTATTTAAAGAATAAGTTGATTTTGGACTTACAAAAAGTTATAAGCTGTATTATTAAGCTGAACCAAACACATCAAAATAGCTTAAATTAAGGTAAAAACTGAAATAAGCTGGAAATAAGCCCTACCAAACAGGGCCAATAGAGTATAAGTTCATAAATTAGGATTTGTGTGTAAATGCCTCATTTTTAGTATGTGTTTGGATGATGATCATGTAATGGGTGGTTGTTTTTATTTTCATTAAATTAGTTTCTATTTTTTCAAAAGTTAAATATGGCAACAATTTTGATATCATAATTAAACCAATCCATTAAATCAAAAAATCCAAAACTAAAAACATTTCATATATTAAATATATCGATTACACATTAAAACCCTAACAACCATCCATTACATAATCATCATCCAAACACATAATAGAAATTAATTTGGTAAAATAAATAAATAAATAAATGTCTAAAAGATTTATTAATTTTACATAATTTTATCTTTGGTGGGTAGAAATTATTTTTAAAAATTCAAAAATATTATTTGATATTTATTTTTGTCAGTAAGTTTATATTTTATCAAATTGGCGACTTTGCCCTTGAAATTGAACAATGTTATTTTCAATTGTTCTTATTTGGAACAAGATTTAAAATTCAGGGTCAAATGTGTCACAATTGAAAAGTCAGGGATTAAAGTGACTCAAGCTCCAAACTATAGGGACTGTTAGTGTAATTCGTCTTTTTTCATATATATGAATATATGA